CTACGACCGAAAAGCAGACACTTTGCAAAAGTCAGATTACAGGTCTGACACATTCCAGCTCTTCTGCTCAGCTCTTTATCTACATATGATAGTCCTCACGAGCAAGTTCCAGCGGTATGAGCTATGATGGCTCCACACAATGATATACAGTGGAACCTCCGAACCAGGTGTACTATGGTACATCTGATTGTGTGCCCGTTTGTAGCGCAGGTCGTCCTATCCTCGGAGTCAAATCAACACCTAAGTAGTCGCAGGGTTGAGCAACCAAACAAGTGGGTCCTTTGTAGAGAGGTCGTCCCTATCTCTGAGTCACAAATAATCACTACATGTATTAGCATGTGTGGTTGCAACAGTGTCCGTGTAGCGCGGTCGTTCCCCTCTCGAGGGGTCGGAGGTCCAATAATACCTAAAGTATTAGCATGGGGTTGAAACAAGTGTCCTTTGTAGAGAGGTCGTCCCTATCTCTGGGGTCAAATAATACACTAAAGTATTAGCATGGGGTTGAAACAAGTGTCCTTTGTAGAGAGGTCGTCCCTATCTCTGGGGTCAAATAATACACTAAAGTATTAGCATGGGGTTGAAACAAGTGTCCTTTGTAGAGAGGTCGTCCCTATCTCGGAGGTCAAATAATACACTAAAGTATTAGCATGGGGTTGAAACAAGTGTCCTTTGTAGAGAGGTCGTCCCTATCTCTGGGTCAATAATACACTAAAGTATTAGCATGGGTTTGAACAAGTGTCCTTTGTAGAGAGGTCGTCCCTATCTCTGGGGTCAAATAATACACTAAGTATTAGCATGGGGTTGAAACAGGTGTCCTTTGTAGAGAGGTCGTCCCTATCTCTGGGGTCAAATAATACACTAAAGTATTAGCATGGGGTTGAAACAAGTGTCCTTTGTAGAGAGGTCGTCCCTATCTCTGGGGTCAAATAATACACTAAAGTATTAGCATGGGGTTGAAACAAGTGTCCTTTGTAGAGGGGTCTGGACCCATCATACCAATACATTGAGGTTGCATTATAGACTTTTGCCTCACACGGTGAAGTTTTGCAGTGTGTGTATTATTAATTCAATTTCACTCAATTCATAGTATGTTATACCTCAAAGGTACAGTTCTCATTACATCATGTACAGTGTTTCATGGCAACAATAACTATACAACCTGCAGTTACTTGTCACCGGAGAAATCTGTTGACTCAGTCGACGGCGTCGTTCTCCACAGAGACAGCAAGTCGCTAGGTTACAACCCCTTCCCTGTGTTCCAGTTCCCTCAGGCCCCCCAGAAGTTCCCCACCCACCCAGCCCTCCCGTTCAAACCTCGACAGATTGAGCTGCGGCAACCGCAGATGAAATTCACTCCCGGTGCCGGAACGGGACGGGTGATCATTCCCCAGACCGATTCCCCGTTCCCGGCTCCGTATCTCCAGGGGCGTGGCCCCGGAATGCAGACGCCGTTTTCGGAGGTCCCGATCCAATGCCAGCCACGAACTGCGTTCCAGATTAACAGAGGAACCGGGAGCATTCAGGTTGCCACGGCAACGACGCAGCGAAAGAAGCGGACGTCGCGGGCAAAGGGGAAGGGCTCGCAACAGAATTCGCTCACAAACCCGGCAACCACGGTAACCGACGTCGACGTTGCAATGGGGGGTAACGGAGAACGAGGGAGCGAGAGTAACGTGACGTTTGACAACGAAGAGGAAGAGAAATTGAAACTGAGGCAGGCGCAGGGTCGACAGATGTCGTTACCAGCGCCCCACATGATAACACGGGGAAGAAAACGCATCTTTTCAATGGCTGGCAAACAGACCGTCGGGGGTTACGAGGGGATGGAAGACGAAAGATTACAAAGAAGAAAGCGACTAATGCACCGAGCACGAACGGTCGGCAGCTCACCTTCGCAGCAACCGACAATCGATGCCGAAAAGCTCCGTAGATGTCAAACTCCCGATTTCTCCCTCGAGGACACGGACAAGCTGAAACCCCGGGAAGGAAAGAAAGGTCTTGCACTGCGAAAGTGTAAGACGCCAGACACCATTATGATGAGAGGGGGCTCGAAGAGAGACGGGGGAGGGGTGGGGGAGGGAGGGACAAAGAGGTTTTCAGAGTCGCCGGAAACCGAGGGGTCGTCGAGTTTGACCGCCTCCCCGGAGTCTAAATCAGGGGGCCACCCCGAAGACGAACGAGAGGTCGAAGGTGAAGAGGAGGAGGGAGGGAAGGAGGAGAGGGGCTTTCGGGGTGCGGCTTCAGCAGCTGAGCATATGTCGGTTGCCAAGGTACTCTCTCTGGACAGCGGTCGGCGGAGGTTGGGGTCGTGGAGAGAAAGATTGAGAAAAGATCCCGGTTCCCCGCAAGAGGGGGCGAGCAAATCAGCCAAAATCCCCAGCCACATTACATCATCGACGTCCGCATATCTCCTAAGCAGTGGGATAGCTGCAGGGGACACTAGCGGTGCAGAAGTTACGTCGACGACGGATGAAAACCCCCCCTACATCTATTTCTCTCTCTACTTTGACATTCAGCGAAGGGCGCTCATGGTCAACCTCATAAAAGTCGAAAATCTTCCTCTGAAACCTCCAAACCAGGGCTCGTGTGACCCGTTCGTGATGCTGTTTCTTCTGCCCAACAAGCAAGAGGTTCTGCAGTCGGTCGTCAAGCAACGGACGTTGAATCCCGAGTTTCAGCAGGTGTTCGAGTTTGGAGGAATTCTGGCAAACGACTTGAAGAATCAGGTCTTGGTTTTTCGCGTCTTTGACCACGACAGGTGTGTGTGTGTGTGTGTGTGTGTGCGTTTTGTGAGGGAGGGAGAGGGGAGGAGGGAAGGAATAGAAGAAAGTGCACGAACATGGTTTAGAAATCACATGAAATCTGCATGCATTAGACGTCGAAGACCCCTACACTGAACAAAGCATATATAGCAAATACACTATACTTGCAGTAAAGGCCTGCATGGATTTCTATAGAAAAGCTTGTGATTGTCTCTCTATTCATAGCTGCTGCTTCACTAAATACAGACGTTCGGTGTGCATTAATTGGAGATAGGGCTCTGAATTCCATCAATCTACAGTGCGCTCTTCTAAAGGAAGACTCACACGTAAAATAGTACTTTCAGAAACAGGGCTAAAGGGCTATAGAAAAGACATGACGCTTCGTTTTCGAGTTGGGCGCTGCTTTGTGTACGTATATATAAGAAAAAATGACCTGAAAACATGATACTGACAAAAATTTTGTAGACAATATTTTTTCCTGCTCCTGGCAAAAAATTTATGTTCAAAAATTGCTTCGTAACTATATTTTTCGTAGGTTCTCAAAGAATGACCTGATGGGAACGGTGATAATGCCACTGAAGGACGCGGATCTGTATGGCGTGCTGATGAGGAGACCCGTGGACCAGAGAAAGGGGCTGCTGAAGGTTAGCATCTCATACTATATACCAAGACCCCGCCCTCAGGAGAGGAAATTATATAGGGATTGACATGGTACCTAGCATCATAGATGTATGGGGCTATGATTATACCAAGACTCCGCCCTCAGGAGAGGAAATTGGTCTTGTGGCTACAATCAGAGAAAGTTGCGCACAATCTGGAACCGTTCGCACATGCAGCTAAAATAAAATCGAGTACTTCAACTGCAAGAGGAGGGGCTCTTGCTGGTGTTCAGGAATTCCAAGAATTTATATACTCCTCGATTGTGTGTGATATGCCTCGTTTGTCGCTTACCGTGAAAAACACTTGTAGCCTTGCAAACGGCAGTGTGCTGTTCTTGACAAGGTTCAGACAGACTCTGCGGGTTGACTGGGTTGCGTGAGTGAGCGTACAACTCTAAGGTGTCTTTGTTTTAGAGAGTTGTTCTCATTTCATGAGCGTCCTGGCCACCATCTTGCTATCTACCTGCAGCAATTCTCGGCGGGCGATCTCCTCTTTTCCCTGACGTACTCTGAAGAAAGGAGGGTGATCAATGGAATAATTCTGAAGGCTACAAACCTTCGCAAGGCTGATATCTGGGGACTGGCAGGTATTATTCTATTGTGTATTACACACCTTTTCAAAACACCACTACATAGCTAAAAATCCTGTTCTGTTACGTCGAAACCTCTATAGTTCTAGCTGTTTTGCTGCATTCGTTGCAGATCCGTATGTGAAGATATACATGATCCACGAGAGCAAACGAATGAACAAGTGGAAAACGGAGGTCAAGAAAAACACGCTCGTCCCGATCTACAACGAGTCGTTCCAGTTTGACGTGTCCGGTCTCGACATCCGCAATGTCAGCCTCGAGGTATGGGTCATGGACTACGACTGGTTTAGCCGGAACGACAAGATGGGCGTGGTTTACGTCGGGGCAAATTCCCCCCAGGAAGTGGGTCGTAATCACTGGATGGAGATTATCAGTGCCCCTGAGCACCAGACCAGTCACTGGCACACAATTATTCCTTACACTGACTTAAAGCAAGTACTGCCACTGGCAAAACAACAGCTGCAACAAAGGCAACAACAACAACAAGAACTGCAACAACAACAACAACAACAAAGGCAACAACAGCATCGACGTCAACGGCAACGACGAGTCCAATACTTGCAACCCCCGCCAAACCCCGCCCAGCAACAGCAGTTGCCAGGCAGCGATACAAACACGTCTGACGCATCAGCAGCCCCCTGATAGATACAATCTAGCTAGAGTGTCGTTTTTTGCGATTTGTACGTTTTACTTGTGCGTATACAGAGCCTTTTATGTATTCAATCAGTCACGTTTTCATTTTTGAGGTTTTATGCATCGATTTTTTGTGATCATGATTGGTATTTATCAGAAGTGACATTTATAGGCGCTGGTGCGCATGCGTGTGGGGTGTTGCCGAATACGCATGCGCAATATTCGTGCAGTGACTGTGAGAGTCTCTTTGTGCAAGATAGAGACACCGCTAATAGTATCGGAATTTTACCAGGAAACGTACAGCTGCCGCGTGTGTGCGTAGCTATTATGCAGTACAAAAGACTTGTACATTTCGCCTCCCCCGCCCCCGGTATCGAAAACACTGGGACCGCCGCTAAAACATTGGAACACACCCAAAAGTGTACATAGCTATCTCTGGCTTTCTGGCAGCATATTTCGTTTTGGACGGAGGTGCAAACTGGCAATACTGCGTAGGTAGGTATTAGAGCCATATCTACGCGGATCGTGTGACGGCAAAGACGTCCTACAATAGTGCGCGGGCCAGGAGCAGTTGATAGGCTTCTTGCGGTGAACTGAAACTCGTCTGCAGCTACTATATATACGCAGTACTGCCGCTGGTCTATGTACGTTCTGGTATCAGCCACGCCGAATAGACTCTACCTAACCGCCTTTAGCTATAGCTGCTGGACTCGACCCTGACCCGCGCCCTCTGCAACTGTTGTTGGTATATACAGCTCTGTAGCGGCTAGCTATGCAGTAATGGAGAAGTCTACTGAGGAAGAAGAGTGTTGTTGCTGCAGTTGCTGCTCGTGGTGTCTGGGAGGAAGAGCTGGCAAGAGGAAGAAGTATGCTGGGATAAAGTACGAGCTCGTCCCCAGGCCTCACACTGGCCAGCACAAACCATACCATCACCAACAGCAGTCCCATCCTGCAGTGATTGTCCCCCCAGACATGCAGAGAATGCTCCCTAGCAACTACCACTACACCCACAGCCAACAACATCCCCCTTTTATCGTTACCCAGCAGCCGAAAGGGTTAAACTCGCCCGGTAGTGGAAGACCACCACGGTACTCGCCCAACTCGCGACTTCTCGAACCGACGAATCGGACGCCTTCGCCAACCTCGTCACTCTCTGAAGACTCGACGACGCCGGCTCTGACAAAACTCCGATCTGTCGCCCGCTCCCCAGTAGAGCTGGACGAAAGGTCGGACACTATCGACATATCCCAGAGCCCTACTGGGACTTTTAGCTCAGCGTACCAGCGCTCGCAGAAGAGAAGAAGCTACGGTGCCGCGAGCACACTCACCACCACACACACCAGCAGCTCGGAGGAGACGGAAGTAGACACTTCGTCCTCGTCGCGGGGGAAAAGCTCGAAAAAGTCGGAGGAGAGCTTTTCGAGCGAACCTGATTCCCTCCCCGTTCTCCAGATGTCTTTTTACTACCACGTCGAGAACGAATGCCTATCGGTCTCCCTTCACGGCGCACAGAATCTCCCCCCCAAAATACACAAGAGCTACACTCTCCTATTACACCTACTCCCGGAAAGGGCGGACAAACTGGAGACAAAGATTACCGGTGAAGACCCCAACCCTTCACTGGCACAGAGTTTCGAGATTGGCCACATTCCTCGTGACAACGTACGTCAGTACAGGCTCATGGTTCGACTACACGACGGGTCCAGTGCTGGGGAACTGTTGGGCGCTGCGACAGTTTCTCTAGAAAAGACGGATCTATTTGGAATGATCTGCAACGTGTTCCTCGACACCAGCAGTAACAAGGTTAGCAGTACAGAGGCACGAAAATTACTTCTCTGCAAATAAGATTCCGCACGTGAATGTTTTATTGCGTTTACACACTCTGTCACGTGCGGACTAAAATTGCGTTTTCCACACTTTGCGTCCCTCGGGGTAGGTGGGTGAGCTTCTATATACACGCCAGCAAAGATGGCAGAACGATTTTATACGGAGGTCGTGTAAGTAGACTCTAGAATGGCATGGTAAACAGTGGGGCGAGTTATTTTTGCAGTTCGGCAGTTTGCTTTGTGTATCCGCACTTCAAATTAGTTTGCATGCTGCAGGTGTATAAGTTGTGTAGTTAGGTGTTGAGGCGTGTGATTTATTGGAATTGTTATGTGTTTGCAGCCTAAGGGAGAGTTACTACTCTCCCTGGCTTTCAATTCGAAGACATCGGTCCTCCAAGGAATTCTCTTGAAGCTGACGAATGCTGTTATCACGTCCGACAGAGCCGGGCTTCTTGGTAAGTGGCACCGATCGAGAGGCATAATAATTATACAAAGCATCCTATATAGGTAGTTGGAATAAGTTACGCTGACGGTAACATGAATTGAACTATCGCGTTTCTAGTTTAGTGACAACTATTTTTGTTGAATCAGGGTCACTCTCTAGACGATTAGTTATCTAAACTCTGCATGCATCTAAGATACACCATAAACCACACCATAATGGTAAGGAACTTTATCGTTCAGAAGAGTGTTCAGGTATATAGCTATATACCCACCAATAAGAGTTTCTCGATCAGTGAAGTTCTCTCTGCCGTCCAGACTATGAATGATTTGCAAACCTCCATTCCTCCATTCTTGTCATGTGAATGCCGCGAAACCTCTGATATAAGGTCCCTGTGGATCAAAGCTGTATTGTTGTTACCTCAAAGAAGGGATACCTCTGAATAGAGGCACTTTTGATGTCCTCAATGTGTCCCTTATTTACAAATTTCAGGGTTGAGTTATTGTCATGTAGATGCCCGTTGAAAATACATCTATTTTTGTAGATATCTACGTGAAGATTTATCTAGTGTACGAGGGAAAGAGAAACAAACAGTGGAAATCGTCGATAAAGCAGAGCAAGACGAGTCTCATCTTCAACGAGGCGTTTCAGTTCGATCTGCGAGAGAAGGACGCCACGGACGCCTGCCTGGAAGCCTGCGTGATGAGCTACGATCGTTTCTCAAAGGATGTGGAACTGGGGAAGGTCCTGATCGGCGCCGAAGTCGAGCACGTGACTGGGAGACAGCACTGGAGACAGATAATCGCACAGCCGCTGGCTCGGATCAGTCACTGGCATACCTTCACCTCTGGACGCTCGTCCTAAAATCCTGTACCTCTGATCTCCATCATTGTAGAGAATTGTTTGTCGTGTGTTGATTTGTCTTTTTTGATTCTGTGATCTTTATTGTACATGCCTCTTCTATAAATCATAATGCCCAGTTAATTTTGTGCTTTTTGTGGTGCTGTCTTCTATATACCAGGTTGCACGGGGGCCATGAACACACACACAGAGAGCAATGGGTGGAACCAAATTAGTATACTACAATGTACTTGCAGTTGTATTGGTGTCTGTCTCACCTCCCACACACCCTAACTCTGTACTTCCACCCTCCCCTAACACAATTTGAAACAGACTGTTGATTCTGCAACATCTTACATTTAACTATAATAATAATAATATAGCTACACTCTTTGTTTGGTATAATTATACTATAGCCCAGCCTTTAAACCACAAACTCAGACCACACTGTGTCCTTGGTACATGAAGGGGGTGTGTTAACCTCTTATAGAAGAAGTGTACAACAAGTTCGCACTGTGCACTGTAGTAACACGATAAGATGGTGTACCACTACTCCTCCAAATGTACAAATCACCATGGTTTGATTTTAAGTACATGTTACACATACTGTTGGCTCCACCCATTGCTCTGGGTGCTGGGTCTATGACCTCAGTCCAATGGCTGCCATTAGTATATACAAGGCAGCTTTCTGCATAGTATATGTGTTCCAAAGCCTTTTATGCTATAATGAGTTTCACATTGCTAGCTGCCACAAGATCTGGATGGAGGTCTAAAGAGAAGGGAAAGCAGTTTGATATGTTCATGCATAAACAGATATCATTACAGTTAGCTATACCATAACTATAATATAACTCATCTTATCCCCATCAACTAGATTATTCACAATTGTATATACATTGTGAATAACCAAACGTCTAGCATCATCATCATATTATTATCTTTCCACTCCCTCGTACATACTAACAGGGTATTATGTCATACTAACAGGGTATTATGTCATACTAACAGGGTATTATGTCATACTAACAGGGTATTATGTCATACTAACAGGGTATTATTGTCATACTAACAGGGTATTATGTCGTACAATCTCGCACATTGAATTTCCGTTACTTCCTGTTAGTGCTGCAATATAATATACACCTGGCGCGACTACAGGAGAGAAAGCACCCATGACCCACCAAGAACCACAGAATGCACGTATATGTTACACCCTGCATTCCAAGGCAGGTGGGCCTTTACTACACTAGGTAATGAAAGTAATGGTGCTGTATGTAGACACATGTACAGCAGTAATGCCACCTATGCCCTAGCGTGCCAGAAGTTCTGATAGATTGATCGTATATATACTGTGTGTGGCTATAAGCATGCGGTGGGAGAGTAGTTAAGCCTGGCTGTTGTAAGAAGGCTGTACAGATCTAAGTGAAGTAGCTATTTCACCTGAAGACAACATTATAGCTAGTGCCACAGTGGACTATTGTAACCCAAACCTATACTATAGGAACTGTACTAGCTAGACTAGATCAGTCTTCTTTCTAAGAAGTTCTCGGTGAGTCTGTATAATAATACTTATAGCAGTAACAGTATTGAAGCTCTGTATATAGTGTAAAGTAGTGAGAGTAAGGGTTCTGTTGTATAAGAATCTGCCCAGGTAGCTACCGCCAGTTACTGGACAGGCTCGCTGAAGGCAGCAGTATATAGGCATGTGTTGTATACTGGCAAAATTCCAAAGTTGCAAGGCATTAGAACTGATTGGCTGTGTTATAATGTTCTTACAATGCCTTGGGGAAGAGTTGAGTTTGCCTGTGGACCCCCAGCAAAGGAGGTCACGATGATAGTCTATCTACTACTGCAGGTTATCTTGAGAGAAATCCACTAGTCAAAGCTACAAGTCTCCAAGTAGCTAGCTAGATCTGAAGCAGGAATAGAGCTACAGAATAGTACTCTGAACAGAAGACACTGTCAGACAGTTTGCAACCAAGAGATAGAAGACAAAGCAACAGGCAGTTCGGAGTTCATAAAGTGAGAGAAAGAGGACAAGAGAGAATAGACAGTTGGAGGTTCCAAAGAAAAAAAGAGAGAGAAGTGTCTTCTGTCAAGTCATGAGTTTCTGCTGTAGCTGCTGCACCAGCTACAGGAGCTGTTGTCATCGATCCAAAAAGGAGCGATTTGCCGACATTGAATACGATGTTCTCTCGAAGTCGAACGTCTCCAAGTGGCCGCTGGGACAGGGTCCCTCTGGGAAGAGCTTCACCATGCCTCAGGAACAGTCAGAGATCAACTATGCCCTCTTGGAACGCTGGGGGTCCCAGGAAATCCTCTCCAGACCGCCAGGCAAGGCCCTGCGGTAGATAGAGCATCAATGATCCTTGGGATCTCTTCCTACTCAAGTGTTAGTACCTACACCCTGTTTCGCTTGTTTAAAAGACCATCTAAATCTCCCTTCGTTGTATGTAGCTAGCTGCCATGTTTTGAGTTTAAATCCTACTGCCATGATCCTTGTGTATTACCAGCAAATGAAGATTGTGATAGTCAATCTTGTGTCCTCTTGTAATAGAGAGCAGGACTAAAGAATTGGTTTGAAGTCAACATAAACATTACGTCTTGTATTATAACTGTAGGTAAAGCTGTCATTACACATCAGCCGCTGGGATTCTCAAGAAGTCGTACTGCCAGCACAGCATCTTCTTCTACTTCATTTGACACTCGACCGCTGGAGGACCAAAGAGCTCCAGAAATCGACTTTCTTCTCTACTACAACATATCCTCTCTCTCACTCACAGTCCACCTCCAGAGGGCTCGCTATCTTCCTCCCAAGAATCACAAGAACTTTGTTCTTCTTCTCTATCTCGCTCCCAAGACCCAGACTGGAGATACGTTGCAATCAACGGTCCTCAAAGACGGCCCCGAACCGGTCATCAATCGCTCGGTCACCTTCAAGGATTTGAAACCGGACGAAGTAAGAGAGCAGACACTGGTGTTTCAGTTGTATAATGGGTCGACAATGGGTGCGCTGGTTGGTGGGGTGACCCTACCACTCTCGGATGCAGATCTCTACGGTATGAGCTGCACAATGAACATCGACTTGGATAGAGAGAAAATCAAGGTGGGCCCTCATGATTACACAGTTTTGTGTCACATCTAGGAGTATATCAATTATAGAACCATTGTATTAAGTGTCAATAAGGATTTCTGTGCGTCTTATCCCATAAGTGAAACTATATAGATTGAGGAGCCATTTCGGTAAAAGCTTTTGCCTATGGTGTACAAATGGCTAGAATGACTCAGCACTTTATCTATGTATAGGCAGTAAACAGTGGTGACCTGCTATTGTCGCTGGTGTTCAAGAGTAAGTCGAAGATACTCGAGGGCATCATCCTCAAACTGGCCAACATGAAAAGGGAGCAAGACGTAGCTATTGGCCTGGCAGGTATATAATACACAAGTATATAATACACAAGTATAGATAATACAGATATGTTTGTATGTTGACAGTCAGAGTAAGTAAAACCTAAGAACTAAGTATGTAGGAGAACGGGAGTGACTGTTGATAATGCACTGATGTGCGGTCCATTAGCTCAGGATACTCGCTGCCAAATGGACACACCAGACTCAAAGCAAAACGGCACGCAGCTGTGACATTTCCCACATCAACCTGACAACCCATAGAAGCCCATAATACAAGTATCCACGACCCATATGAATGGCATACACAGCAATATAACTTCCAGAGGGGCACATGCCCTTGGATTTACCTGAATTGTAATAAGATACAGTCTTTCACAATAAGCTGTTAAGAATCGGGTGTGATGGAATTACGGGAATGCTAATGTTCCTGTAAGTGAGTGCAGCTCATGGCGGTCTTAATACGTTCTAATACACTGACTAAAGTGGCTTCAAAATATGTAATGTTCGTTTGACATTATGGAAATTTCAAAGGCTGTGAAGTGGGAGGTTTGAGAATTGCATGCCAGATTGTGAGTTCGGGTTTTGGCTCGGTACTGGCCTTGACCAGCACTTGACCAGCAGGAGTGGGGAGGGGCCTAGGCTCCAAACCACAAATGTCTGGGCATGGTCAGCAGCTCATACCAGTGGCAAAGCCTTGTGGGGATGAATCTCATTAGTTCAGACAACTACAAGTGCTGCGCTCCTGGTATATAGCCTTTATAAACTCGTGATGCCAGAGAGAGAAGTTGGGGTATGCTCTGCTGATGAGGGCCGAAACAGCTGTCCAGAGCTCCTCATCTTTTTTCTCTTGGCATCACATGGTATTTTCTACATGTGCAAGGTGCCCCCCCCCCTCTTTTGCCTTAAAACATAATAGATGGCCTAGTACCTCCCAAATTGCACATCCTACTCTGTCTTATGTCTTCTCCATTATCACGTAGATGTCTACATAAAGATATGGCTACTCAACAAGGGAAAAAGAATGAAAAAGTGGAAGTCAAGCATAAAGCAAAAGGTCCCGGCACCGATTTTCAACGAGCCTTTCGCTTTCCATCTGGGGACAGAATCAGGAAACATTCAGGATCTCGCCCTGGAGCTGGTCGTCATGGAGCAAGATCGCTTCTCGCGGGGCGTGACGATGGGCGTGGTTTACATTGGGACAAGTGTTCCTCATCACACGGGACGTCAGCATTGGCAACAGGTCATGTCTCAGTCTGGTACCAGAATCAGCAACTGGCATCCAGTCCTTCCAATATCACCATCGACTCTATGACCTCCTTATAGGGAATGTGTCGGTGCATAAGGGCTCAATATGCAATATATAGGACCCTGTGTAACAATGCTATTAGGTTTACATTTAACCCTTATTTTACTGCCACTTTTCTTTCTGTGTCACTAAACTAGATTCACATCATTTTGACACTTATCACTATCTTCAAGAATTTGGTCCCTTCACACCGTTTTTCATGCAATTTTTAGTTGTAATCTGAGCATTTGCAAATATTTTTCATCACGGAAGGTATGATCTGGTATGTCAAATAATTAATATGATTTTCACAACAACCACATAAAAATCAGAATTAATTAAATAAAAATCATGGATTAAAAATCATAGTGATTACAACAATGGCTATATATTAATTATTAGTTTTTCTTTCTAATTATCGTCATCCTCGTCTTCCGTGTATCGTGAAGAGATGGTGCGACTGACTTTTTTCTTTCGCGTCGTTCTCTCCATCTGTGCGGTGATGGGGAGGATGGTGTGCCAGCTGCTGATGCTCGTGTTGGGCTGACACATGACGTGATCCCAATGTTGTTTTCCCGTGTCGTGCGGGACCCCTTCCCCGATGTAAACCACACCCACAAGGTCGTTCCGGGAGAAACGGTCGTAGTCCATCATCAGTATCTCTAGTGCGGCTTCCTTGACGTTCACGTCTGAGAGGTCGAACTGAAACGACTCGTTGAAGATCGGGATGAGAGTGTTTCGTTTCACTTTTCGATTTCCATTTCTGGTTGCGACGTCCCTTTTTCAGCAGCCATATCTTGACATAGGGATCTGCAGGGGTCAAAGTACACTGTCAGATAACTATACTCCTTTTAGCCACAGCTTTGCACCTAACCAACTTTCATCATTACACCCGAAAATTTTGTATCATGTACTTTTTGCATTCTGCACACACTGATTATAGCTGAAGTATAATTATACACAATAATAGCTGTTACAGTGGGGAGCATCATTTGGAAGATGATTTTGAGGTAATCACTGAGGCGAGATGAAACTAAGATTTTTCCAAATGTAACACATCCTCTAGAATTCGAGGCGAGATGTAACCAAACGTAACACATCCTCTAGAATGACAGTGTGTACGTCCACTGGCGGTCTGCGTGTTGGCAACAACATTCATTCCAGGTTGACACAATGCAAGAGGAATTTCGCAAGACGTGCCACGTGTTGTCTAATATGCCTACGAATTATTATACATATTATGTACACGTGCCAGGATAAACTGCCTAGTAATCTCTTCAGTATACTAAGTAGTAATCTCTCAGTCGTAAACTTCACAAGTAATCTCAGAGTAATTAAGGTCTGCTAGTAATATCTCAGTATACTACTACACTACCAGTAATCTCTCTGTCATTATCTCAGTAAACTGCTAGTAATCTCTACCTGCCAGTCCCACAATGTCTTGTTTCTGTAGGTTAGTGGCCTTCAGCAGGAGTCCTTGCAGGGTCTGGTTGGTTGGGTTGTGAGAGAGGGAAATCAGCAAATCACCTCTGCTCACCAGCTGGAATAGAAAGAGAGAGAGGGGGGGAAGAGAGGGGGGGAGGCATTGAATCTGAACAAGGATAACACAGATGTTTGGCAAACGCACCTTTCAAAACTTTCAGGAAACTAGAAAAACAATAACGTAAGGTTTCATATCGAAACCGAAAAGTGTATCCTTAGGCACTGCATTTGATATTCTACTTTCATAATGAGTACATATACACTAGGTAAGGCTATTGTGTTTTGTAGCCTAAATGGTACCAGTATATCAGAAAGCAAAGTTTACCTTTAGTTTCTCGACGTCGGTGTCGATATTCCTCCTGCACATCACTCCAAACAGATCAGCCTCCGAGAGGGACACGCTCAGCCCGCCCAAAAGGTCACCTTTCGACGAGTGACTAAACACGCGGAACACGAGGGTCTGCCGTCGAATCTCGTCCGGCATGAGACCTGTAAACTCGAACGACTGGTTGAAAACCGGGTTGGGCGTGTTTTGAACCATCTTCGACTGGAAGATGTCTTCGCGATTCGGGAGAAGATAGAGGAGGACGATAGGATTCAGTCCGGCTTTCTTTGATCGATTTGGTAAAAACCTGGCGCACTGGAGATGTACCATCAGCGTGCGACACTGAATATCATAGTACAGAGAGAATTCAACTTCGGGAGGGAGAGAATGCCCGGCATTTGTACCCCGACTTAACCCCTCAGCTCCTCCCCGTTTTAACCCCATTCCCACCGCTTCGTCTTCGCCGGGCTCCTGGATGGCCGAGAGAGAAGGCCTCCAACTTGCGGTGACGCTGCTGTCGTAATCGAAGGTCGCCGGGGCGCTGAACTGTCTCTCGTGGAGGACCGAGGACCCCGCGGGAGGGGAACCACGTAGCGGGGAAGTTCTGGGGGAACCGTGTCCGTTAAAATGTCTCTCGGAGTACGTCCGCATCGACGATAGCGGCAACGTCGACGATTTCTTGCTGAAGTTGAACATGCTCGGGTCGGGGATGTAACCAGGCGGCAGAGACGGCTCACTAAGACTGCGATCCCTGACCGGCTGTTTCCGTATCACCTTTCCCATCTCGTCGCGTTTCGTCGCCCCCGACGACGTAAGTGCCGCGGCATACTCCATCTTGGTCTGCTGGAACATATACTTCTTCTTCACCTCCGGCTCGGGCAAGTTGTTGAAAATGATCCCCTCCCCCGAAGTCGGGACCAGATCGTACTCGACTCCGGCAAATTTCTTTTTGTCTTCTTGCAAGAAGCAGCAGCAGCTGAGACATCTGGAGCAGTACGAGCAGAGTCCGGGTGAGGAGGGAGGTCGTGGTCTCATCTTGGTCTCCTCGGAGTCTGACATGGTCTGCGTTGAGAGGGAGGGAGAGAGGGGAGGTAAGGTAAGGCATATGTGTGTATCCTTAACCCTTTCCATGCCACTAATATGCAAGCAGAAACCATGTATGTACAAAGTATTAACGCCTAGTATTAAAACCTCCATATAAAATCTTGCTGCTTATGGAGACAGTGGACACATTTATGTGTCCGTGGCTGGTTATGTGTTAATGTGTGTGTGTGTGAGAAGTGGAAAATGTAATGCGTATGTATGCGTGTGTCTCCGTCTGTCTCTGTGCATGTGTATATAATATAGAAGTGGAAAAAGTGAGGCATACTATAATTATGTGTGTGTGCATTAATTCCTTTGTGAGAAATGTAAAAAGTAAGACGTATGTTGCATGTGTGTTCGTGCCTTTACGAGAAATGGAGACCTAATGTGTACGTGTGTGTGTGTGTGTCTGTGTGTGCGAGGAAAATAAGGTAGTGATTGTCGTAGAAAGACGTTGTTGCTATCCAGCGGCTGTCATCTGGATTCGTTATCATAGGAGCAACAGAAAGCGCCCCCCCACACACATGTACAACAGTATGCATACTGCGGCCATTCCTTGTGCAGTGTTTCTTCCATTCTTCCACAGGCCACTGAAATTCCAGCCCCTGTTTATCATACAGGCTTTTAATCAAAACTCCAAGAAGAAATATTATATATGGGGTCGTGATTAGCTACCAGATCAATTACCATGTCATTAACCCCTGGTATGACGCACTGCTTACAAAGACACCTCACTAATATGGACACTTTCTTCTGTCCCATTGGTGTCTGTATTAGAGGAGTTCCACTATACTCCCACTTCCTTGCTGTGCCAATACTGACTGTAGTGGGTGTGGTACCCATGGCTCCCATCCAAACCAATCAACCAGTTGCTAACGGGAACAAACTCGTTCGTAAGAGAACTACACGACCTTGGCAAGGTACACAGCTCTTGTCACTGCAGGCACAACTGGTTCACCACGCGTCTTTCACATGTAACGGCAACCAAAGACGGAGAGATCATTAAAAACCCAAATTGGCATATTTCTAACCGTTTATTCATAATTTATTGTCAATTTCCATTCCAGAGAGCGTTGCACAGGTGTTTTCGTAAACAATGGCGGAATTTTGCAATTCCCCAAAGACCAACAAGAACTAATTAATAATACGTCACCCCGTAACAACGTATGGACTAGTCAATGTATGGGTATTTGTTGGATATCCCTAGGCAACCGTAGGCACTGGGGGATTTTATCAGCCTACATGTGCAAGCAGGGTTCATACGTGTCATTTGCCTAGGGATATCCAACAAATCTGTTGCAGTACCCAGACAGGACAGCATTCGCCCTTTTACAGCATAAAATATTTCAGGTAATGTTTGGAAGCGCACATTGCTATCCGCGAAAATTTGATCCGCTGAAAATAATAGGCACCATTCAGTAAATGAATGACCTCATTACCGGTATAATACCCATAATACTCTTCTTGTCCTTTAGCAAAGAGAAAACACAAGTTTTTGTAACTAGAGTCCATTACAAGCGTCTACAATAACACATTCTTGAAGCTCTTCCATAATACCGTATATTTCCTTATTGCTAAGCGAATACTGAAGATTTTTGGGACACTTGGGAGTAACCCCGCATCACACTGGTGGACATGCACTGTCATAATAAGGTATAATAATGGAGTATCAGTAGACACACGTCCTATGTGTATGTCCACAGAGAAAATAAGGACTTCTCTCTAATAGAGACACTTTTACTTTCCCCATCACACTGGTAGACATGCACTGTCATGTATCAGTGGACACACGTTCTATGTATATGTACAGAGACAATAAGGACACCTCTCTAATAGAGACACTTTTACTTTCCCCATCACACTGGTAGACATGCACTGTCATGTATCAGTGGACACACGTTCTATGTATATGTACAGAGAAAATAAGGACTTCTCTCTAATAGAGACACTTTTACTTTCCCCATCACACTGGTAGACATGCACTGTCATGTATCAGTGGACACACGTTCTATGTATATGTACAGAGAAAATAAGGACTTCTCTCTAATAGAGACACTTTTACTTTCCCCATCACACTGGTAGACATGCACTGTCATGTATCAGTGGACACACGTTCTATGTATATGTACAGAGAAAATAAGGACTTCTCTCTAATAGAGACACTTTTACTTTCCCCATCACACTGGTAGACATGCACTGTCATGTATCAGTGGACACACGTTCTATGTATATGTACAGAGAAAATAAGGACTTCTCTCTAATAGAGACACTTTTACTTTCCCCATCACACTGGTAGACATGCACTGTCATGTATCAGTGGACACACGTTCTATGTATATGTACAGAGAAAATAAGGACTTCTCTCTAATAGAGACACTTTTACTTTCCCCATCACACTGGTAGACATGCACTGTCTAGGTATCAGTGGACACACGTTCTATGTATATGTACAGAGAAAATAAGGACTTCTCTCTAATAGAGACACTTTTACTTTCCCCATCACACTGGTAGACATGCACTGTCTAGGTATCAGTGGACACACGTTCTATGTATATGTACAGAGAAAATAAGGACTTCTCTCTAATATTACTTTCCCCATCACACTGGTAGACATGCACTGTCTAGGTATATAATGGAGTAGACACACGTCCATATGTATGTGAACATCAGTAGACACACGTTCTATGTATAATGTACAGAGAAAATAAGGACTTCTCTCTAATAGAGACACTTTTACTTTCCCCAAGAACAGTTCTTACACGCAATTTAACCCCTGAAATATAGGTGCCTCACTAAGTTGGCAAGAACTCGTCATAAAAATGATGGACTAGTGCGAGTGTATAGGATAGTACAAGTACGAAAGTTGATTGATTTTGCCAAGTTAGCCATCGGCATACTTTCTGTTTTGGTCGGTTGCTCCCAAAACTTTCCACACGATTTTGTTGAAAACATACGACTCCAAGTGCATGCCCAGTATATATATACACGTTATTGTGTTCCCTGTCTAATGAAATAAAGAACAGGGGAATGCTTCTGTAAGGCGATATCAGGGAACTTGGGGGTTATGGATTAAATTACCTTGTACACGAACGGCAAAGCCCCGAATTCCGCATAAACTGAACTGACTAAGAGACAACACTTCCAGTAGCTTGCTTTTGGTACGCTGATAATCATATTTGCATCGAGAACTCAATTTGTATGATATACAAATTGAGTTCTCGATGCGAGTTGTGTATTATGTGTATGTGGAAATTATTAAGATTACACGGTAGTAAATACCAGAATTTCACATATATGCAACTAAGCATGCACAAGGGTATAAGCAAGTTCGCTAGATTGTATGTATACACATACTTATAGAAACTTGGACTAAAGTGGATGAGTAAATGCCTGAGGGTACGTTTAACCTCTCAGATTTCCGACGAAATTCTACCCCAGTATCGTGGACCAATTATTCTCCATAGTTGTGTCACCTGGGTGATAATAAGAGAATTTTCTATATAGTTAGTGGATGGGTAACATTGAAGTGTTAGTAGCACCATGAGGATGACGGGGAGGGAGAGAGGCCGAAGAAGAGAGAGAGAGAGTGTGTGTGTAGCTTGTGGCAAACAACATCAGCAGACAATGAATGAATGAATGAATCTATTCAGCACATAGCCCTACACTACTGCAGCGTGCGTGCCTCTCTCATACGCTAACTGTCCAGCTATTTGGCATCATGCTCCCAACGGTACACCCCCCCAACACTCTAACAACACTATCACCAAACCTCCCACAAAAAAATTATTACAAACGCCGACCAAAGATCAACAGAAAGGCTATAAACATCCCACTGCGTAATAGTCATCGCACTCTACAAGCATAACCCCCGTCAAGTAATTAGCACAAGGGTTAACTGCAACAAAGTTGCCAAGAATTCGACCACTAACAGGATTTTCTTACTAAGACTTAGTTATACTATTCACTTGACACATGAGCTATATAGCTCTGCTTGCTTTTAGAGATCATGACTCTATCATCATTGGTCTTTGTGGTATAATAATTATAGGACACACTTGTGTTTTTTTGATAGCGTTTTACTAGGGCTCTATTCACATGTGCATGTATGGTATATTTGTTTCTATCAGTTTTTTTTTTTACTCTCGATGATGGTAGTGTTTGGACCAGACTGTCAGAGGAACTATAATTCTGAAGGTTATTAGCGGGATAAAATTGGTACGGAAGAGCGAGGGGCTATCTTCGCAGGAGCGGCCACAAATATGTGTGTGTGATTAGAGCGGTGCTCTTGAGGATATTATTTGTGCCTAAAGCAGTACATAACTCTTGTATTGTGTGAGTTAGCTATAATTATAAGTAGCTACTTGCTCACCGTCTCCTTCGCTGCAAGGTGTCAGTTACGGTTGGCTTCTAGAAGAGTCGATTTTCGATTGGGTCCGTGTCAACAGTTACGCCTCACAGCAGCGACGCGGTTGTCCGCTTCCACTGCCGGATGGGCGAGACGCGCTATCTTCCCAAAAGCTCCACGCGCCACCCAAAACCAAGCCGCAGATCTGTTGGATTCCCAGAATTTATGGTGCGTAGCAGCACCGCGTAGTGTCGCACTCTCATGCGTAGTTTATGCGGATATGCACGCACACGTTGGCGTGTATTGCCCGGCTGCGCGCGGGGCGCTATTATTCATCGGTCGCGCGCGGGTATATACATCGCCTTTCGCAAAGGTAGGTTTTCATCAGACAATAAGTGAATTTTGAACAATTTACAAGTGATTGATTCAAAATACAGAAACGTTGTAAGTGCCACAAAACCTAATGGTACCTGCCACACAATAGAACACTGCTACACTATCATTGTACACATCACACTGAACACACAAACATGGACGAATATCACATACAAACAGTGACAATAAGTAGATGCAGCTAATTTAGTTAGTTTGTAACGATGCTTTCTCTGTCTGAGCCGCCATCGTAAACATGCGTTACTGGCCATGCCGTGTGCCATCTGCTTACGGCTTGACTGGGCGTTCGAATCACTTCCGACCAATGAGATCGCCCGGTTTCCTCGGGGGCGCTGTCGCCGATGCGGATTATGCCCATCGTCTCGTCTCCCGAGAAGCGGTTGTGATCCATTATCACGATGTCGAGACTGAAACTGTGGAGGTCGGTCGATGGGGGGATATCGAAACGGAAAGGCTCGTTGAAGATTGGCATCAGCGTGTTGCGTTTTACACTCGTTTTCCACTTGTGTTGGCGTTTCCCATTGTGGAGTTGATATACTTTGATGTAGGGACCTTGGGGGAGGATAGGAGGGGGAGGGAGGGAGGAGGGGGTGAAAGAGGAGAGAGAGAGAGAGAGAGAGAGAGAGAGAGAGAGAGAGAGAGAGAGAGAGCGGAAGAGGGAAAAATATAGAGTGACAGATATGCAGAGAGAAAGGGGAATGCAGGTTGATTAGTTATTCATCGAAGCACATGCAAAAAATTAATTGGCTACCGTACTGACTGACACACTTGCACGCTTTCAGTCGCTATGAGAACAAGTGAAAAATAGTGCAAATAATTTGCTACCGCACACATGAACACTCTTGAATACTTTCTCAGAGTATTAAAACAGTCGCTCCGAAACACTATATGCATGAGTTCCAAGGAAACTTCCTTGTTAGAGCTTCACATGTCTATATATAGTACAAGTCTTCGCTGCATAGGGAAGACCCAAATAGCTATAGTGATAGTGAACTGTACAAACATGTGCAACCTAGGGCTCTGTGGAACCACTCTCTAAAGGCACCCCTGAAATGAGGAAAGAGATGTCTCTTTTCCCCAAGAACAGTTCTTGCATGTTTAACGTCTGAAACAAGGACGGCTCACTAGTATGGACACTTTCTTCTGTCCCATTGGTGTCTGGATTAGAGTTCCACTGTATAATGCTCAGGACACCTCACTAATATGGACACTTTCTTCTGTCCCATTGGTGTCTGGATTAGAGTTCCACTGTATAATGCTCAGGACACCTCACTAATATGGACACTTTCTTCTGTCGCATTGGTGTCAGGATTAGAGGAGTTCCACTGTATAATGCTCAGGACACCTCACTAATATGGACACTTTCTTCCGTCCCATTGGTGTCAGGATTAGAGGAGTTCCACTGTAAATCATACACACACACTATTATCGCTTATACTTGCGGTGAAGCAAGATTGTGTTTGTACATTGGAAGGGGGTGCACGAAGCATACACACACATTATATATGGCATACACACACAGGGAATTGACCTAAGATGCATGCTAGGTATATATAGCTCTTAGTGCACACACACACACACACACACACACACACACACACATTATATATGGCATACACACACAGGGAATTGACCTAAGATGCATGCTAGGTATATAGCTCTTAGTGCACACACACACACATATACATAGTAGGCAGGGAATTATACAGCTCACACACACATACATGCATGCTAGGTATATAGCTCTTAGTGCACACACACATATACAGTATATAGTAGGCAGGGAATTGACCTAAGATGCATGCTAGGTAGCTCTTAGTGCACACACACACACATACTATATATAGTAGGCACCTAAGATGCACGCTAGGTAGCTGTTAGAAGCCAGAGTAAACATACGGGGGAGTTGGTTGTGATAGATGCAGGATGTGGGAGGAGAGCTGAAAATATGGAGTTTGTCCAGTGAGCCATGATTGACAACAAAGCTCTCTGCACGTTTATTTGTGTTTGTGACTGGGTTTTGGTGAAGAATAGTGACGCACTGCCGAGAGTTTCACTGCTCGCAAAAGTGGCCAAAAGATAGATTTAACGGACTTGCTGTATAGCTGTGCAATCTTATGCGAGGAGAAGGAAAGAGAGAGAGAGAGAGAGAGAGAGAGAGAGAGAGAGAGGGGGGGGCATTTTCTCACAGGCAGTTCCTGATCCGTTCACTTTCTGGAGGTTCTTGGCTCTGAGTACGATGCCCTGAAGCAAACCGGTGCCAGGGATATGGGTTAATGAGACCAATACTTGTCCTCTTGATTCAGACTGTGGGGGAAGAGAGAAAGAGGAGAGGGGGGAGAGGAGGAGAGGGGGGAGGGAGGGGAGAGGGAGGGGAGAGGCACAGATTAAAGGGAATGTGGCAGGGTTAGTAAGAACTAAACAAAAGGACCTGTGAATACGATCATACCAGCAAAATTACGAGTCCTCATATTAAACTTCGACATCCCTTTTTCCTTATTTACTGGGGTTCTTATAGAGAGCATTTTATACTATTACTTTAACGCTACATTTACATGTTAACCCTTCCAAAACTCACAGAGAAATGCTCCACTTTTTCGTCAATTCTCATTTTCATGCTCACCCCATATAGATCGGCATCTTCGAGTGAGACTGAAATCATACCTGCAGGGAATCGATTGTCCTGATCAGTGAGGTGTCCTGATTAGTTAGGTGTCCTGATTAGTGAGGTGTCCTGATTAGTGAGGCGTCCTGATCAGTGAGGTGTCCTGATTAGTGAGGTGTCCTGATTAGTGAGGTGTCCTGATTAGAGAGATGTCCTGATTAGTGAGGTGTCCTGATCAGTGAGGTGTCCTGATTAGCAAAGTGGCCATCTTAGATATGCGACTAAATAAAGTTGTTCACATGGTGATAGAGAAAATGGACAAAAAACAGAAAGACCTCTTCCTACCAATCAGCTCGTGTTTCGTTCTCCGCGAGTGGAACACTTTCATCACTAGTGTCTGCTTCCTGATGTCCTCCGGCAGGAGACTGGGGAAGTCGAAGATCTGGTTGAAGTAGGGATTCAAATCTCTGTGAATCACCCTCGATTCGAACACCTCTTGCCTGTTCGGCAAGAGATACAGGACGATGAAAGGACTGCACGGATGCGTCACAGAACCTTTTGAAAAAAATAACAAATTGGACCGTTGAATGCTGGGATTCCATAATAGACTTGCATGCATTTCAACCCCAGACACCTCACTAATACTTCCTTCCGTCCCATTGGTGTCTGGATTAGAGGGGTTCCACTGTATAATGCTCAGGACACCTCACTAATATGGCCACTTTCTTCCGTCCCATTGGTGTCTGTATTAGAGGAGTTCCACTGTATAATGCTCAGGACACCTCACTAATACTTTCTTCCGTCCCATTGGTGTCTGGATTAGAGGGGTTCCACTGTATAATGCTCAGGACACCTGACTAATACACTATCTTCTGTCCCATTGGTGTCGGAGTTCCACTGTATAATGCTCAGGACATACATACGGATCTTAGTGTCTATATTAGAGAGGTTCCACTGTATAAAGTTTAGTGTGGCACCTTTTGATATGACAGGGAGATTGTAAGCTTGCTGGATATGGATGGCAAGGACGCGACGTTGAATGTCGTAATAGAGAGAAAATTGTAGTGTCGGGTGTGAATCGGCTCCACTCTGGAGAGACGCTATTGTCCCTGGACGAGGATAGAAAGGGTTAAACAGTAAAAATAGAGGGGTTAAAACAAAACAAGGGAGGTAACAAGGCAATACATACAGAAAACAAAAGGAAAGTGATCAATACTTTCAAAATTCTATCAGGACCATTGCTCAATATGGATGTCTGATTTCAATTTTCAATTTGGGGCAAGTTAATCAGGATTGCGGACGTCCAAATTTTAATTCGGGGCAAATAATCAGGACGGTTGATTTTTATTTGGGACGTCCCAATTAGAGCTGGACTTCTCACCGGAATCTGATAAATAGCTGATGTTGGATGGTTCCGGTGTTGGCGTGGAATGGCGCCAGACTCGCACGGGACTCAAAGTCGGGCTGTGGGTGGTGGGCGTGTACGACCGCACCTGTCGCCGTGGCTGCTCGGTTACCGGGACGACGGGGAGCAGTGTCGAGGGCGGCCGATGATAAGGTCTCTCACTCGGCGGCTGGGCAAACACATACTGTCTCTCCAACGGCAGTTTATCGAATTCAGTGTGCGTCGTCACAAACTGGCTCGCCTGATCGGGCGACTTGTACTCGATGTGCGGGAAGTGAACCGGTTTGTCCGGTTTCTGTTTCCGGTGTGGGCAGCACTGGTCGCAGCAGTAGCAGCAACAGTAGCAGCAGTAGTGGAGGCAGCTCATTCTGAGGAGTGAGAGAACGTTAGTTTGCCACTGAAAATTAATGTTTACGCGTATATTTGTCAAGCTTGCGTAGTTGTCTGATTTTTGCAGCCTCTTTTGACAATACTAAAACATCTTCTGGTTCCATTATATGGACCAGTATAATATGCCATTTGACAAGTTGTAAGCTAAAGGTAGGCATGATACATACCTAGGATCTGTCCGTGTCACTCTGTCCCCGTTCCGTGTCAGTCTGTCCCTGTTCCGTATCACTCCAGTGATGGTCTGGAACAGAGGACTGGCTCTGTTGCTCTAGCAACAACTGTCTCTCCCTCTCCTGTGCACAATTAGCACACGTCCTTTAAAAAATCCACGTGTTTATAAAATATTAACCACACACTTATTGTTAGCATGCATACTTTAAGCACGCATACCAGCTATTACAAAAAGGTAATGTGTCTTTATGTATGCATGCATGCATGCATGCACGATAACTTAAAAGTACTCTTTGTTCTTATTGCGTGTGCTTAAATTATCCACACGTGCTTAAAATTTAACCACGTGTGCTTATTAGTAAGCACGCGCGTGGGTGATAGAGCTCACTTCAGTGAAGCACTCCCAAAATGCTCTGTGTTCTCTCCAGCAGAAGCCAAACCAGCTGCTTCTGAAACAGTGTCTGAGGACCGCACGCTCTCTCTCACAGTGCAGCAAGGCAGCTGCCTGGCAGGGAGAGGGAGGGAGGGAGGGAGAAAATGACATTCCAAGCTGATGAAAAAACTTCCTATTTGGCACTGAGTAACAGGAAGGAGTCACCACTTCCTCAATGATTGCCTCAAATCACTCCATAAACAAGTAACTTCCTCTAATTATGAGGTATTGATTAGGACACCTCCCACATATCAGAAACATAATTTTCAGGTCTCCCTCAGAGAATGAGATTGAAACTCACTTTAGCTCTTTCTCTTTGTTCTTGTTTCTCTTTTGATCTTCCAAATATTCTGTCTTCCATACAGTCTAGTGAGGCAGGAGAAGAGGGAGAGGAAGGAGAAGAGGGAGAGGAGAGGAATGGAGGATGGAACAAGGAACAAAAAGCAGCGGTCAACTAGCGAAAATTGCATAATTCAGACGAATAGGAGAGCTTGTGAGCGTATGTAAATGTTAAGAGTTCAACTGGCAAATACATCGGTGTTAAAAGGGAGATGTTTGTTCATCTGCACTACTTGCTTCCTTAAAAATCGATATGTATCAATAGCCAATTTAATGCTAAAGCACCACTGATCAACTGAGTGAGCAAGGGAGTGGTTCACATCGTCCATTGTTCATCCCACCACAATAATAATGCAACAGCTACGTGACATAATAGTAAGTGTTTAAGCACTGGCACGGACAGTACGAAGCTTTCTTTTGTGTATAACACATCCTTTAATCTGTTGCCAACTCATTGCTGAAGTTACCAGTGATCAACTAAGTTAGAAAGGGAGAGGTTTTATCAACTATTGTTCATCCCACTACTGGTCTCCAGTCCTCTCTCCAACCGATTTGGCCACTGCAAGCATGTCTCACAATCCTCCGGACACTAGGACCATGGCTCTCATGCCACTCAGCCAAGATCTCTAGTCTCTGTAGCTATTGATCTTTTCAACACGTCAGAGAAGGAGGGAGATGATTATAGAGCACTTCTCCACAGTCACCCCTGAAATGAGGACACACCTCTCCAAGGACAACCCTTGACACGAGGACACCTCTCTAATAAGAACACTTCTTGCATGCAATTTAACCCCTGAAAGAGGGACACCTCACTAATATGGACACTTTCTGCGCTAACCACACCGAACTATAAGTAACACCAGATAGTATCAGCCTGTCATTATATTATGGACACAGTAAACAGAACCATGTGTCAACATAGACGTAAACTGAACAATAAGTGGATTACATAACACAGGACACCATAAATCGTTATTGGCACTGTATAATCCAAGAGGATGCACCATTACGTGGACTAGGTGAGAACAGGAAGGACAAAGCCAGATACATCGTGTGTGGCCTACTCCTGAACTGCCCTGGACAAGTGAGGAACAATGCTTCTCCATTAGTCCTGTGGCAGGGCCTTTACCCTAGAGTTTCAAGGCCTGTCTTCCAGAGTAGGGATATACTACAGTGGAACTCCTCTAATCCAGACACCAATGGGGACAGAATAAAGTGTCCATATTAGTGAGGCGTCCTTATTTCAGGTGTTCAATGGCATGCAAGAACTGAAGGGAAAGCTGTTCTTACAGAGATGTGCCCTCATTTCAGGAGTGTCCTTGGAGGAGAGGTTCCACTGTAAGGGCCAAGGCACTCTACTGGGTAAATTTCCTCTTGATTAATTGCTAATAATCTGTGGATAAACGTTGCGTGGATTCTCAACCTACACTCTCTTCCCACAAACCCCATTTCATCACATAGTATTGTATTATACTGGAACTCTATGGCCACCCCTATAACAACCTCCAATCCTGCCCAATACCTCATATTTACGCACTAATGTAGATAGGACACTACTAGTAGCTAGCAAGGAAATAATTATTATCACACAGATGATGTGAATGGAGCCGCCGTTATAAAACAGCTACAGCCCGACGTACAATGAGATGTATAAAACATGTATCTTTTGTACAGTGTGTAGATGGCGTGATAAGTTTCGCAACAGACGATTGTACTTTCAGTAGCAAGTGGCATGGCGGTGCCTAGTGAATGCCAAACATAATGTTTGTATGTAGATTGCACTGATAAAAGCGGTGCCGAATTGGGATGCGGTGTGAACGTCGATGCGTACAAGTCAGCTTGTATGACATGTGAGGTGGTTGCATTCATTATTCACCTAAAGATGAGAATTTTTATACCGCAGGTGCCAAGATTGTCTGTAAGAAAATCAGGGTTTGTCAATAATGTGGGTTTGAGAAGCTTTTTGACAAAATAATTATTTTTCAAGTAGGCTACTTTATTCTAGCTATATACTAAAGGTTCTTGAATCAAATTCCGCAGAAAACCTGAAGAACTGAAAGTGTGTCCTTGTAAGAGAGGTGTCCTGCATTCAGGGGTGTCCTTAGAAAAATTCCCTATGCATTACTGAACCACACTTCCTCCAACGTTCCACTCAATACCAAGAAAGATACTTGCATTATGATCAAAGAGTGGCTATTTGAGGGTGGCCAGGAAGTGCAATAGTTCAGTGCCAGGGCTTCTTTTATTACATGCCACCTGCAGGGCAGATAGTAGAAGGACTGCAGGAAGCATGGAGGAAATCAAGGTGAAAGTGGTAACGCAAATATCCTCCTCGGCCATTAACAACCCACATGTTACCAGTGAAAAGAAAGCACAAGTTACCTGGAAAGTAGTAATTAGCAAGTTCTACTAGTGAAGGAAGTGACCAACAAAGTAACCAAGCAAAGTTCATGTTACTACCGAATTAGATGTTAGCTTCTTTTCAGATGCTAGTGAAAATCTAAAGTCCCAAGCACCATGCATGAAATTCAACCCCTGAAATAAGGACACCTCACTAATATGGACACTTTCTTCTGTCCCATTGGTGTCAGGATTAGCATGCAGGGGTTTCATGTGAAAACTGAGGGCAAGAACGTGCATACAGTTGGCAGTAAGCCACAGAATGTGGGCAATCACTGGACATTTCATTAGCTGTCCTCATTTCTAACCGACCACAACCCATTTCTAGTGATTTTGGGAACTATTTATCTTCACACAAACGCTAATGGACAGACTCTTGAGCACAGAAATTAAGTTTGTTTCTTCTAAGCACTCAAAACCATCCACCTGGGAAAAAGAAGAGTTGTCCTAAGTGTAGTCTTGTCGTTTGTCTTTGATTTGCATTGACCTCGATGATGAAACATTTTCAGATATATGTTACATGCCAGCCGTGCCCTGTATTACTATAACCCCCTTTCACTGGATCTATCCCTGCATAATCCAGCATGCAGTGGTCTTGTTAGCACCGCAGAACCTTGCAAGATACTGGCACGGACACTGACAGACATGCACAATTATCATGGCCCTTCTTGCACAGGAAATGCATGATGACCACAACTTAGAGAACTTGTCCAAACCCAACGGGTTCCTGACCTACTCTGTTTAGAGCCATGCACAAAGAGATAATACAGCGCTCTCCTCTGCCATAAAATGTGATCGGAGGATTTATGACATCGCCTTCCAGCAGAGGCTAGCTATATACCTACGGCGCAGGAGGCGTACGACACGCGTTGACAATCCGCGAGAGCTCGAATTTTGTGACTTACGGCCAAATCAGAGGCTCACTGGCTCCATCAACGTACTGCTCTCGGTGTGTCTCCAGTAGATCAATGTCCTAACAGCGAAGCAAGCCGCACCACGGCACCGCTCGACTCCGTACCGTCCAGCACGCACGCAACGTTATATACTGTGCGGACACGTACGCCGTATATTGCTAGTATACGGAATCCACGTGCACAAGTTTAGAGCTTCTCGCGCGCGTGCGTCGGTAGCACAAAGGGATGGGCAGGTAGAGAGGAAGCGAGGTGAATATAAGGGTCTCTCACCCACAGGTTCCTCAGGATCCAGAAAGGAAGTAACAGTTCTTTGGTAAGTTCCGGTGCAAAAAGCCCTGCAGCGTTTTTGCCGATTCAGCAAGTAGGCGGGGTAGGGCGGGCGTTATTTAGAAAGAGCGGGGGCGCGTCTGCAAGAGCGCGGGAAAACGTCTGTGTGGGGAATGGCGGTGGACGAGTACAATAGAAAGCTAGAGATACGTCGACAGAAGTATGCCTTCGGGAAAGATCTGCTAGAGGTGATTGCGCAGGACTCCACTCCAAAGGTAAGCCACGAGAGAGAGAGACGGTGGAAAAGTGGGCAATAACTCACCTGGAAAAAAAAGGAGTTGCAGGGCGTGTGCACAGCTGCGGCAAAGATGGGCAGAAAGATTGGGAAAATAGAGGACGCGACACAAGAACTGAAACAAGGTATGTATGCACAGTTTCCAAAGTCAAAATACTTTTGTTTTCGACAACAGAGGTTTTGCAGCGAAGGAGAGATATGGAGGAAGAAATGAGATCAGAGTTTGTGGAAGCCACTGGTCAAGACAGAGATCCAGACACCACGTGAGATTCTATAGAGATCTATACATTATACAAGCACCAGTAAGTGAGACAGAGACTTGTATCAGTGCGTTTTCAGATTCAACATCCCCTTTCCTTTTGTGCCTCTATCTCTCTTCCTTTTTCCTATCTTGCGCCTCTATTTCGCGTCCCATTTCCTATCCTGCCTGGTTTTCTCTGCCACAGGCAGAATGGGCAAGCAAAGCTCTTGTCGTATCTCAGTCTCATCTGTTGATTTTCCTCAACACACTCACACAAAAAGGGTGGTTCAGGAAGAGATCGAACGTGTCAGTCAGCAAGTAAAGGAAAAAGAAAAAAACTGCAGCAAACTCATCAAGGAGAAAAAGATGCTGGACTACGACAGGTATAATATACTTAATACACCCGTTACATACTTACTGGTTTTTTGGGGAAAAGATTATGGAATCCCACGTAACCCATTAAACAGTGTGTCTTGGGGAAACGGAAGTAGAGTTTTTCACTTGAAACAGAAAATTATAAACCTGCTATATGTATATATATGGTATTGCTTGTGATCTAAGGTGAAATACATGTTGTCCATTCATTCTAGGCTGCAGCGCAAGGTGTTTAAAGGAATTGCTCCTATTCACTTCGACAAGACCTCCAGTGACTCACATGTGAAAGGCTGTATCCTCTCGTGCTAACATTTTACAGTGATAAGCTTTGAAAAAGGTCCCATTCATTGAACCGAGAACATCTCTCCATAAAGTGCACTTAATTCTGCTTCATAGCCCAAAATAAGGGACATTATAATATACACTTTCGATGTTCTGCCCCTCATTAAGAGGCTTCACTATAATTCAATTTTCATAGGTGTTTCCACGCATGTTAATGTTTTCATAATCATGCATACTTTGCATTAGTGTGTACTATGCATTGCTTTGCCCCTGGTTTAAAATTATAGCTATTTGGCTATGTGATTGTACCGTTCCTTCACTCGTAGTATGTTCAGATATCACAAAAAAGAACGGAGAACTTTTTCCTTTTGAATTTGATATGGACAAACAAAACAGTTGCACAGTAGCTGAAACTCTCTGGGATAATTTGTAGCCGTTTTATATACCACCATCACATTTACAACGCAGTAGTTTTAGCGCATGCGCAATACGCTTCGATGTATGCGCATGCGCGTACTTAAAAGATGGCGGGTGTGTCGGGGTCGTCTTTGAGCAGCGGCAGCGGTGGTAGCCCGCGAGTCAAGTGGCTCACGGACCTCGACAAGAGCGCCATAGTCTCCAACTTCGAGAAGAGAGGCTGGGTAAAAGGCTCCCTGGAAGGTAGAGACGCACGTGACATCACGTGATGTTTATTTCCGCCGAAATATCTGCAGATGGTGACTGGAATTTCTACTTCTGCAGTGTGTACACTGCGAGGTCTATGTTCAGTGTTGACAGTGGATTCAGACTGGCCGATGACCAGTAATTCATCCATTTTATACTTTTTTCCCCTATTTCCTTGTCCCCCCTCCCCCACCCACAGAATGATAAGTCATTTCCCGACCCACTACCGACTGACGAGGAAGGACTGCATGGTGAAGAACATCAGAAGATACCGCAAAGACCTTGAGAGAGACGGCAGTCCGCTGGCAGAGAGAGACGAGAGAGGAAGATTCATCCATCTTGGTCCGTCTTCCTCTGATCTTTATTTTTTCTTCGTTTTAGCTTCCCATGTGTATTATATTATACCTGTGCTTTTTGCACCATTTGAAAAATTGCTGGTGGCTGCCCTACATTTCTCATAACATGGAGAGAAAAAACCATGTGATGCCAAGAGAAAAAAGATGGGGAGCTCTGGACAGCTGTTTCAGGCTTGTTGACCCTCATCAGCAGAGCATGCCGCAACTTCTCTCTCTGGCATCACGAGTGTATAAAGGCTGTCATGAGCGCAGCACTTGTGGTTGTGCAAGTTGTTCCTCTACATACACATAGACTGCCTCCCCCTTCCCCTCCCCATAAATTCTACCCCAAAAAACCTGCAGTGCATTGCAAAGTCTAAGAACTGACGAAGTGGCAAAATGTTCAATACACATTTCACCTGCTCCCGTTTTTACCCTAGATTTCATTCCAGTGACATTCATGCTCCCGGCCGACTACAACATATTTGTGGAGGAGTTCAGAAGACATCCATCTAGCACATGGATTATGAAACCTGCCGGAAAAGGTGCCGAGTTTTTTAAGCTTTATCTCTGCGGAAGCTTATTATACAGGAAAGGGTTTTAATTTAGTTGTTATGCAAATTCCGATAGGGATAATGCATGGGTGATCATAACCCCATGACTTGTGTATATAATATGATTAAATTATAAATCTCTTTTTATCCCAAATTTTCAGCCCAGGGAACCGGGATATTCCTTATAAACAAACTATCACAGCTCAAGAAGTGGTCTAAAGATCCGACAAAATCTTCGCAGTAAGTTACTTCCTTTATCCAATTACAGTATATATGCTACACAGCAAAATCTCAAATGTATGGGCATAATGCAGGACAACCTGTGTCATCCCTATATACTAAGGTTGGAATAGCGATACTATCTCGCTGTACCTAAACACTTTTTTCCTAGCAATTTCCTTCTTTACCACCCTTTCCCAACAAGGGTTTGAACAGTTTTGCATTTGTTGTACGCACACGAGTAAACGAAACGACAAACCAACAATGCCTAACACTTTGACTATAGTTGGAGGTTGGAATAGCAGATACTATCTCGCTGTACCTAAACACTTATTTTTCTAGCAATTTCCTTCTTACCACCCTTCCCAACAAGGGTTTGAACAGTTTTGCATTTGTTGTACGCACACGAGTAAACGAAACGACAAACCAACAATGCCTAACACTTTGACTATAGTTGGAGGTTGGAATAGCAGATACTATCTCGCTGTACCTAAACACTATTTTTCTAGCAATTTCCTTCTTTACCACCCTTTCCAACAAGGGTTTGAACAGTTTTGCATTTGTTGTACGCACATGAGTAAACGAAACGACAAACCAACAATGCCTAACAGTTTGACTATAGTTGGAGGTTGGAATAGCGATACTATCTAGCTGTACCTAAACACTTTTTTCCTACCCCGCAGAGTACCACACACTAGAGAGGTGTACGTCATATCTCGATACATCGAGAACCCTCTCCTCATTGGTGGAAAGAAATTCGACCTTCGCCTCTACGTTCTGGTCACCACTTTCCGTCCACTGAAGGCATACATGTGAGATTTTTGTTTGATCGCGAAAAAATCTGTGCCGTGAGCTGGCAAACCGAACCCCTCTCTAAAAGGACACTTCTGGAATTAAACACTACGTTCGTAAGTACAAGTACAGCTATAAACCCCTCTCTAAAAGGACACTTCTGGAATTAAACACTAGTACGTTCGTAAGTAAAAAAAACCTCTCTAAAAGGACACTTCTGGAATTAAACACTACATTCGTAAGTACAAGTACAGCTATAAACCCCTCTCTAAAAGGACACTTCTGGAATTAAACACTACATTCGTAAGTACGATTACAGCTATAAACCCACTGTGCTATATTATGTCGTGTAATAGTGAACATGATTGTCGTTGTGTAGGTATCGGCTGGGGTTTTGCCGGTTCTGCACAGTCAAGTACAACACCAGTGTCAGCGAACTGGACAATATGTTTGTTCACCTCACAAACGTCTCCATTCAGAAACATGGGGTGAGGGGAAATGAATTTAATTACACCTTCGAGTTTAAATTAGTGGATATGAATATCGTTAATGTTTAAAATTGGGAAAAGTACGTAAATTAATCCTTCGAAATATGAAATGTATTTCTCTGTCGGTGCTGCACGTGAAGGATGAATATAATGCCAGTCACGGAGGGAAATGGCCAGTTGAGAACCTGAAACTCTACATCGAGGGAACGAGAGGAAAAGAGGTAATCTTATTTAGCTGAATGTGTTGGCTTGCTGTATAATATATGTGGCCTGGGGAGGAGAGTGGGGTACTCTCTGCTGATGAGGGATAACAAGCTAGAAACAGATGTTCATCCCTATATATACCACAAGCTTAAAACAGCTGGCTAGCGCTTGCTTTTTATCGTTTTCGCAATTCAGTGGTTTTTGCAAGTCTTATTCCCTCGTCTATAATATAAACCACCATTTTTGTCCTGCAGGCATCGGACAAGGTGTTTGAGGACATACACTGGCAGATCTGTGCACTCTCTGAAGGCCGTTCAGAACGTCATGTCCAGCGACAGACACTGCTTCGAATGCTACGGGTACATGACCTTCTTCCTTCTCTTCCATTTTAATTGTGTATTACACATAGTTTCTCTTTTGTATGTAGGTTTGATGTGATCATTGATGACCATCTCAAACCATGGCTTATTGAGGTTCATATAATGAGATCAAACAGTGGAGATGGTATCATTTTGGCAACTAAGAGGGCGTATGTCAGTTATTGTGCATTCAATACGATTTCGAATGGCCACGTCAACATCGTATACAAATATCCCTCACAATGACTATATATGTTAATATTTACACACTTAGCTAACTTTAAGGGTTTTAATAGACTATAATGCTCTCCCTTACATTATATTATAATTATAATAATATATATTATACTCCAGGTGAATGCCTCTCCCTCCCTAGCCTACACCACCACCAATGATCGCATCATGAAGACGTCGCTAATGAATGACATCATCAATATCGTCCTCTCTCCTTCTGGATTCCCCGAGTAATCCACTAAATGAAGAAAATCTGTGAAATATTCAAAACACGAAACATTTTATTCCCATCTTCCGTAGTGTCAGATGGGGCAAATCGCCGTCAAAAGAAGCACTCGGAAAGTTTGATCTGCTGTGAGTCATGAGTAAATGTAGGAAACTTGCAAGGCTGAAAAAGTGAGAAATATTGTATAAAGTGTCCTTTTCATGTTTTTGGAGTCCATATAGAGGTTCGATTGTATGTATGCAGGTATGATGAAGAGCTGGCAATGGCTGAGGCAAGAGAGAGAGAGGTGAAATCCAGAACAAGCCAACGGGGAGGCGGTGGCGGAGGGAAATCGAGGCTGGACATCTACAAGAAACCAGCCGCCTCTTGGAAATGAACTGTCCGTCGTTTTGAAGTGTGCGCATGCGCAACGTTTATGCGTTGCTGACTCAGCAGAACCAATCGTCGCTTTGGTTGTTCTGCAACCACAAGACGCACGAACGGCAGCTCACCTTTGTGGCGGCGATACGCTCATCATATATTGCTCCAAGATCAAAGACATTTACTACACTTTCGTGGAGGTCACGAACTCAGTCTTGGCTTTGGACGAACTGAATTCCGATACTTTACTGTCTATTATCTTGCACAAAGACGCTCCTGCCTATTGCGCATGCGTATTCGGCAACATCCCACACGTACGCATGCGCATCAGCGCCTATTATCTGACTTCTGATAAAATACCAATCATGATCACTAAAAATCGATGCATAAAACCCTCAAAAATGAAAACGTGACTGATTGAAATACATAAAAGCATCTGTATACACACAAGTAAAACGTACAAATCGCCAAAAAACGACTTTAGCTATAATTATCAGGGGGCTGCTGACACGTCAGATGTGTTTGTACCGTTGCCAGGCAACTGCTGTTGCTGGGCGGGGTTTGGCGGGGGTTGCAAGTATTGGACTCCTTGTTGCCGTTGACGTCGATGCAGTTGTTGTTTATGTTAATTGCCTTTGTTGTTGTTGTTGTACTTGCAGTTGCCTTTGTTGCAGCTGTTGTTTTGCCAGTGGCAGTACTTGCTTTAAGTCAGTTGTAATGAATAATTGTGTGCCAGTGACTGGTCTGGTGCTCAGGGACACTGAAATACTCCATCCAGTGATTACGACCGACTTCCTGGGTGGATTTGCCCGCGACGTAAACCACGCCCATCTTGTCGTTCGGCTAACCCGGTCGTAGTAGTCCCATGACCAATATTTCGAGGCTGACGTTGCGGGCTGTTGAGACCGGACACGTCAAACTGGAACGACGTCGTGTAGTATCGGGACGAGCGGTTTTTGTCTTGACCTCCGTTTTCCCTGTCATATCGTTTGCTCGCGTTGGATCATGTATATCTTCTACTATATTTTCCGATCTGACATGAAGGCAGCAAAACAGCTAGAACTATAGAGGTTCGACGTAACAGAACATGATTTTTAGAGCTAGGTAGTGGTGTGTTTTGACAAGGTGTGTAATAGACACTAGAATTAAAAATACTAATTTACCTGACGCAGTCCCCAGATAATCAGCCTTGCGAAGGTTTGTAGCCTTCAGGAATATTCCATTGATCACCCTCCTTTCTTACCTTTCTTCATGAGTACTACGTCAGGGAAAAGAGGAGATCGCCCGCCGAGAATTGCTGCAGGTAGATAGCAAGATGGTGGCAGGAAACTCATGAAATGAGCCCAACTCTCTAAAACAAGACACCTTAGAGTTTCACTCACACAACCCAGTCACCCGCAGTCAGAGTGTTGTCTGTACTTTGTATACACAACTCCCTATCATAGCCCCATACATCTATGCTGCTAGGGTACCATGCCCATCCCTATATAATTTCCTCTCCTGAGGGCGGGGTCTTGGTATAATCATAGCCCCATACATCTATGATGCTAGGTACCATGTCAATCCCTATATAATTTCCTCTCCTGAGGGCGGGGTCTTGGTATATAGTATGAGATGCTAACCTTCATGCAGCCTTTCTCTGGTCAACAGGGTCTCCTCATCAGCGCTCATACAGATCCGCGTCCTCAGTGGCATTATCACCGTTCCCATCAGGTCATTCTTTGAGAACCTACGAAAAATGCAGGCCTTTACTGCAAGTATAGTGTATTTGCTATATATGCTTTTGTTCAGTGTAAGGGTCTTCGATGTCTAATGCATGTAGATTTCATTGACTTGACTTCTTGATTCTAAACCACGTTTTGCACTACGTGTTACTTTCTACTTTCTCTTAGACCGCAGTCACGCGCAATTGACAATCAGATTACGAATTGCGGTGGTTTATTTTTCATAGACACCTCGTTTCAGGTGTCTATGGCGTTTGCAGTGGTCTACAGCAAACTCCCACGTCTAACCTATATTTCTCTCTTCCCCCTCCACACACACACACACACCTGTCGTGGTCAAGGATGCGAAAAACCAAGACCTGATTCTTCACGTCGTTTGCCAGAATCCTCCAATTCGAACACCTGCTGAAACTCGGATTCAACGTCCGTTGCTCTTGACAACCGACTGCAGACACCTCTTGCTTGTTGGGCGCAGAAGAAACAGCATCACCAAAGGTCAAGACACGAGCCCTGGTGGAGGTTTGGGCGAGAAGATTTTCGACTTTTATGAGGTTGACCATGAGCGCCCTGCGCGAATGTCAAGTAGAGAGAGTCGAGAGAGAAATAGATTGTAGTTTCATTTCATTATCCGTCGTCGACGTAACTTCTGCGCCGCTAGTGTCCCCTGCAGCTATCCCACCGCTTGTGAGATATGCGGACGTCGATGATGTAAAGTGGGCGGGGATTTTGGCTGATTCCTCTTGCGTGGAACCGGGATATTTTCTCGATCTTTCTCTCCAAGACTCCCACCTCCTCCGACCGCTACTGTCCAGAGAGAGGACTGAAACGTCAGCTGCTGAAGCCGCGCCCAGAAATTCCTCCTTCCCTGACTGAAGCAGTGCTTGCTGAGTAGGGAATGCCTGTCCCGGTCTGGTCTTGAGCCACGGGGCGCTACTGCCGTACGGAGAATGAACTGACAACTGGCGGGGTAAGATGGCCGTCCCTCCGTACGAAGAAGATGAGGCTGTGGTGTAAGCCGGTGGCGTGTAGTTGACAGAGCGAAGAGATTTGGGAAAGAGAGGTTCTGATTCGAAAGAGTCCTGGCTGTTTCTGCGGTAGAAAGTGCTCTGGTAGTTCTGGAGGAGGGAGGAGCAGGGAGGGAGAAACAGGAGGGAGAAAGAGGAGAAAAGAAGTATTTTACTAAGTGCCCATGGTGCCGTTTCCGTGCACACGGAAAAACAAGTGTGCATCAATTGGAATGCGTACTAAATTTGTTAGGCATCTCGACCGTTGAAATCTACATGCTTTAGAAGCCCTGGGGACCATTACGTAGCATCCTCGTTGCAGTCGGAACACTACAACTCAAGGGCCCTTTAGGCTTCTAATGCACATAGATTTCACAGACTAACTAAAGGGATAATATACCGGTTTTTGGGCCCAAGACATTGAATCAACTTCATCGCTCATTCTTGTCTGTTTGAGAGGTGAGAAGATGATGCAGATGCCCCACTGGGGAGCCAGGTACTTGACGCCGCTGTGGATGATGTATATCGCCACTATTGCCGCGTTGTTACTCGTCTGTGTGGGTTGGAAAGAAAGGAGAGAAGGAGAGGTGAAGCATAAATTGAATGTTTCACTTACGAAAAACGTCTGGCAATCATCGTCTCTCGACCGAGCTGCAGGCAAGAGACAAGAGGCACACTCAAAACCACTCTCCATCACAGATGTAAAAACTCACTGATTAGCAGGGCGAGGTCATAGGAGAATGTCACCACGGTAACCAATTGATACACAATCACCAACCTAGCAAAAAGAGGTAGTTGTTGCGGTTAACTTGAGAGCCTGGGATATTATCATTTGTACCATGCGTACACAATGCTAGTATATAGACTTAGTATAAAAAGTGTGTATTGAAAGTGTGTTGTGAAGTACATAGCTAATTCAGTAATACTGCCGTACCCCCAAAGTTGGGCTTTCTGTGAGAGGCGGTTGCTGCGAGCTGTCGTGATTTGACTCAGCTTGCGAGAGATGTAGATGACGGCAGCGAAGAACAGTTGGACCACCAGAAGTTGGGACGCCGAGAACAGCAGCCACTGGGGCTCTAGTTTACAGAGAGATTACTAGGGATTACTAAAGTATGCAAGATAATACAAAAGATTAGAGTTCATTACTAGCACCCACTGTGGGTCTAGATTACGGAGAGTTTACTGGGACAAAAACAGGCCAGCAGTTAGGTACTAAGGCTCTAGATTACTGGAATATACTAAGGGATTACTGTAGTATCCAAGAAATTACAAGAGATTACATACGTGTGCACTCTTGTTTGTCATTTTGCAGTCTGAGTATAGCCCATGCCGTCACAGCAAAGAAGTACAGCAGAAGAGCTAACAACACTCCATAAAGAATACTGCAAGACAACACCAGACACACAGAAATTAATCATGGATGATTGCGACTAATATTTCTACAGTTTCAGCAAATATTTAGCAAGATTCCTCCTTTTTTACTCGTGAAATTACCCCGGTTGGATTGAAACTTACACTTTGAGAATGTTTTCGTATTTCAGTATGCGTGCGGCCCAGGAACAGAAGAATAGAGCTATCACAATTAGCTGGACACTGATAGAGAGAGATCACATAATGTGTATAAACAGCAGGGAGGGAGGGAGGGGGAGGGAGGGAGTTTGTATGTATGAAATGGTACCTGAATGACGACAAGAAAAGTTAGGAAAAAGTCGATGACTGCTGATGAGATGTAGGCCCAGTGAATAATACTGTGTGAGAATGAGATACAGAGACACTAACAAAGGAGCTGATGAAAACATTATGTTTGTTAACTTAACGGGTGGTCATGCAACACTGACATATTAAGTAGACATGACAAAGCATGGCAATTATTCACCAATGACATTATTGCTAGCAGAGGTAGTAAACAAGAATGTGTTTACAAGGACACCCACATACATTGTATTTACATACCCCACTGCTGAGTATATACAAGTTGAAAGGGCAGTAAGTCTCTTACCTCACATCCTATGATGTAACTACCATCATAGTATATACATGCTGACATGACCACAACAAGAGGATGTACATAAAAACATGTGCATTATGTCATGGCATATAATAGATAGACAACTCCATATATAGTACTTCAAGAGACGGTTGTTTGTTTGCCAATGCGACCATTCTTACTCTTTCAGTGTAGTGGGGCATTAATTAGAAATTCATCCAAAGGGGAGAGAGCTGAGGGGAAGCTGACCTGAGGACACAGAGGAGGAGTCCGGTGTAGTAGATGGTGTACTGACTGTAGCTCCTTGATCTGTACCAGTGATACTGCACCAGCTGTTCGACCAATCAGATTGCAGTAATCAGACTTTTTATATTCACTGAACAGACTTATAATGTAGTGTGTGTTTGTTGTGTGTTGTATGCATTAGACACTGTATGTAAACAGCAACACTATTTATACATACACACTAGACTGTTGCATGGTGCATGACAGGGATTCTGTCCCTTCTCATGGAGTTTTCAAAATGGAACTTACAAAATCACCAAAGGCTTTCTAATCTGTTTTTGGCACCACTAGCCACACATATCCAGTTTCCCCAGGAATGCATCATATTGGGGGTGGTTACAATGGAGACAATAGACCAAGCGCTGTAGTAACCTTTAGCCCCATTCTTACTGTCAATTTACCCATTTATTCATTGATTTAACCCTCCCATTCCCTAATGATTTAAACCCATTCACAGTTTTAGCTTGTGATTCTCACTTTGCAATAAATTTGTGATTTATTCCCATTCTCACTTTTTTAGTTTGTGGTTTAACCCTTTCTCACCTGCGGCATTGATGATGGTGACCTTTGAACCGTGGGCGACAGTGAGGAACTGTCTATCATGAGACAGTTCGATACTGGTTGCCGGGGATTCCAGGACCAGCGTCTTAGCCACACCCCCTGTACGAGTGTCCCACAGCCTTTGGAAGAACGAGAGAGCGCACCTTGAAGCCACACGTATGTATGTAGGAGTCACGGTGTATACCACTGTATACTATCAGCTACACGTATGTATGTAGGAGTCACAGTGTATACTATCAGCTACACGTATGTATGTAGGAGTCACAGTGTATACCACTGTATAATATCAGCTACACGTATGTATGTAGGAGTCACAGTGTATACTACTGTATACTATCAGCTACACGTATGTATGTAGGAGTCACGGTGTATACCACTGTATACCATCAGCTACACGTATGTATGTAGGAGTCACGGTGTATACCACTGTATACCATCAGCTATACGTATGTATGTAGGAGTCACGGTGTATACCACTGTATACCATCAGCTATACGTATGTATGTAGGAGTCACGGTGTATACCACTGTATACTATCAGCTACACGTATGTATGTAGGAGTCACAGTGTATACTACTGTATACATCAGCTACACGTATGTATGTAGGAGTCACAGTGTATACCACTGTATACTATCAGCTACACGTATGTATGTAGGAGTCACAGTGTATACTACTGTATACTATCAGCTACACGTATGTATGTAGGAGTCACAGTGTATACTACTGTATACTATCAGCTACACGTATGTATGTAGGAGTCACGGTGTATACCACTGTATACTATCAGCTACACGTATGTATGTAGGAGTCACGGTGTATACTACTGTATACTATCAGCTACACGTATGTATGTAGGAGTCACGGTGTATACTACTGTATACCATCAGCTACACGTATGTATGTAGGAGTCACGGTGTATACTACTGTATACCATCAGCTATACGTATGTATGTAGGAGTCACGGTGTATACCACTGTATACCATCAGCTACACGTATGTATGTAGGAGTCACGGTGTATACTACTGTATACCATCAGCTACACGTATGTATGTAGGAGTCACGGTGTATACTACTGTATACCATCAGCTACACGTATGTATGTAGGAGTCACGGTGTATACCACTGTATACCATCAGCTACACGTATGTATGTAGGAGTCACGGTGTATACCACTGTATACCATCAGCTACACGTATGTATGTAGGAGTCACGGTGTATACCACTGTATACCATCAGCTACACGTATGTATGTAGGAGTCACGGTGTATACCACTGTATACTATCAGCTACACGTATGTATGTAGGAGTCACGGTGTATACCACTGTATACCATCAGCTACACGTGTGTATGTAGGAGTCACGGTGTATACCACTGTATACTATCAGCTACACGTATGTATGTAGGAGTCACGGTGTATACTACTGTATACTATCAGCTACACGTGTGTATGTAGGAGTCACGGTGTATACCACTGTATACTATCAGCTACACGTATGTATGTAGGAGTCACGGTGTATACCACTGTATACTATCAGCTACACGTGTGTATGTAGGAGTCACGGTGTATACCACTGTATACTATCAGCTACCACGTGTGTATGTTAGAGTGCACAGGTGTATACACTGTATATACCATCGAGCTACACGTGCTGTATGTAGCAGTCACGGTGTGTATACCACTGAGTATACCATCAGCTACACGTGTGTATGTAGGAGTCACAGTGTTATACTTCCTCGCAGCAGGAAGCAGCATGGCCGTCTCCTGGTCCACGGCAGACTTGAACGGCAGACGAACTGCCGCCAGCAGCTGGGGGTCGGAGTCGGCCGACTCGTCAAAAATCGCAGCATCTTGTCGTTCAACCTGACAGGAGGCTCCCGCTGTCCTGTGGGTGGAGCCCAGGCGTCGGCATAGGCATAAAGTGAGAATTGAAATTAACACAGAAAAAAACTGTTGAAATATATCACGCTGAGATTCGCTGCAATTCCTTTTCAAGATCTGATAAAAATTTATAACAAGTATTACAAGCAATGAACACAATTTGCATGTTTTCAAAGTTTACATTAATTACTTGAAGGGTTGTTACTTGAAGATCTGAAT